GCTTTATTTAAGAATTGTTGATTATGTTATTTATAATTGCTTTTCTTTTTTTACATTTGTTATAGGAAAGAGGATGAGAATATCTCGAAGGAAACAGACCGTAGAGACTTTTGGATGGATAAACAAATAGAATAAGTAGAGAACATACTCTATCGGTTATTTCATTGTTTAATTAAAAAATGGGTAATCTTCAATTACGCATATTAATTATAATTTTTTTTCCGGTTTTTTTTTCCGATCTTCTCAAAATGAGGTATTAGTTACGTATTCGAGAAAGATTTTATTCTGCGCAAAAATTATCTTATCCAGCCGATATAATTAGCAAGAAACAATATTGACTTGGGGCTCTTAAGTGAAGTGAAATCAGGAAAGTTTTAACAGTAGTTTAAGCATCAAAAATGAGCCAGTTAAGTCTTACAGGGTTTTCTCTGAAAGCCTTTAAGTTTGTCAAAGGTTTCGTTAACAGAATCCTAAATTTTTGATGTAACATCTTAACAGAAACCTTTCGTTTTGATCATTTCCAGTACTACTTCTCAGTGCAGAAAAGACTGAAAAATACACGGAAGTGGAAAGTGGAAAAGTTACGGCAGTAATATTTTGCAACTGGTTCGAAAACTCTCTTACGCGCTTTAATGTTTGAGATGTTGTAATGTTTGTATGGTGATTTGATCGTTTCCAAATCAGGTTATTGTCAAAATGTTGGTTTGGGAATCAAAATATTCTTGTTTTTACCACACTTTTATACACTCCTTTTTTGGTAAACTTTCTTAGGGGATTATGTAGTAATTCAAAAGATGCTAAAATAAAAGACAGCTTGAGAGAAATCTTAGAAAATATCGTGAGCGTTTGTTTTAACCAGGTTACAGAGTAAAACAGATAGCACTGTTGTTCATAGTTAAGGCGTCAATGTGGCGGGAAAAGGGTGTAACTGGTAGGAGTGTCAGCATGCGGTCCACTGACGCTTTCTTGCGCAGAAAACATCAACAAACGCCATGATCGTAAGAGGGTTGTTTTGTTTCTCAATGCTTTTCAGGGCATTTCTTTGATCGGTTTTCCTCAACCTATGTTACTTGATACTCGCCTTATAGTCAAAAAAATTACGGCGATGAAGTTCTGGTGATTAGTATTCTAGTGTCAAATATTAATTCCATGCCAGTATCGAATAGTGATCCTAGTATCAACAGTTATGGCATAAAACGATCATGCCGAATTATGGGAGCCAAACGAGTTTTGCATCCCTTTATTTGACGTAAATTAAGTTAATTTTAGCATAAAAACTTGAGGCATAAATAAGTGATTACATGCACGAAAAAAAATTTGGTTGATGTGTCCTTCTCACTTCTTCCCTTAAGTATTTCTAAGGGCGTTAACATCACGCTAATTATTCCGAAAGTTATCACCTGGACTATGAGTATCAGTGCATGAGGAATTCTCATTCCTACCCCAACCTACTCAGTAGTAATTAGTTTGCTGAATAAATTTTTGATTCTTTTTGCTCTCGATCAATTAGCCCGCAGCAGTTCTCACAGTTATTTTTAAGAGCTTTTAATAAGAAATTCCTGCGCAAAATTTAGAAGTCGTTCCCAAATTTTGTAGGTGACTGGCTTTTATTTCTGTTGAGGTAGCGTTGCACTTTTTCTAGACCATGAAACGTTAATGTCAACTGCAATTTCTTGGGCATTTTACTTTACTTCCAACGCACAGAGGCGTTTGCTTCCAGCCAAAAGTAAAAAGGAACTTAGCAACAGTGCTTAGCAACAGTTGGGTGAATATTTTCCCTATAAGGTGGTTCCATATATGAGCTGATTACCTGAGGTGTGTGAAAAAATCAGAAATGAAAAAAAAACTCGAAATGAATTACCCGGAGTCCAAAATTTAAGAGTGTGTCCACGAAAGCACCAGGCAGTCGTGTTACATGCCATCTTACCGATTTCAATGAAACTTTACCAGTTTAAAGGGTCAACCCCAAAACTCAAACAGACAAACTGGTTTCTGTTTTAGCTCTTTCTAGGGGAGGATAGACCATCCCCCGCCTCCAGTGTTTCTTGGTTTTCACTGAGGAAATCGCTTCAAAATGGGTAAGATGTATGAAGCTTTCACTGCGATGGTTTTTAACCGATTACTCTGAGAGACTGCATACATAATAATTACCACTACTAATTGTTTCAAAGAACCCCTGTTATTTATAATTTATTGCAATTAGAACATATAACTGGGTCCCGATAAATTTTACGTTTCGTGACTCCCAAAAAGTGTGTTTACGAAAACATAAATTGAGAAAACAGAGGGAAACGTTACATGGACGAGTATGTAATGTGTTGAGAGGTCAACCGTCCTCGTACATGTAACTTCCGAAAAATGTCAGCATGTACAACCCCCTTAGGCGCACCTGGCGAATTCTTTCCGCTTACTTCAATCGAAAAGAGACAAGTCATTTACTTAAGCAAGCTTATTTACCCTACTTGTAAAACTCCTGGATGAAGTCTGCTATTGTCAGACGAAACGCATGAGAGATAAATACAAGTTTTTACTTTCTCAGTTCGTGCAGTGATGCTCACTAAATTTTGTCTTCACCACACAACAAATAACACAGTAGTATACATCAAATAAGTTTATTTAGGGAAGCCTGCCGAGAACCAACCCGAGGCATATATAGCCCGAGGCATGCATACATACATATATTCGCAACTGATATACCATATACAATCCTGATATACAGTCAATTCCTTACACATTAAAAAATAGGTATACATTGCTAAAATGCAAACTTCACTAAGTCTGGATTAACAGAGATGGGCAACCGCTTACAAGGACATAACTACGGTTATACAGAGGCCAGAAAAAAACCTGCCAGAAAAACCCATTTGGGGAAAGAACATGACAGGAAATCTGGGTAGGAACCATGATCCAAACTCAGAGCAGTTGGCAGCCCATCCTACGAGGCTTCACAGTTAAAGAAAATACGTTTTCAAACTAAAATAAATTTGTCATCAGCCAGAGGTGAACGGTTGGTTCTGAGGCCTAGATAGACACCACGTGCTATACTTCCCCTTATATACCACTGCATCATTACCCATGATGCTCGGGCCTAAGGCCCAGGTCTTGTCGTATCTCGTGCCGACAAAATATTTATTTCTGCCTTATTCGCAGACTCATTCGTCAGAAATACCATTTTGTTCTGTCAAAAATATTGCCTTTAATGTAAAGTCACGTCGACCTCGCAGAAAAATTCGGCTCGCCCTGTCATAATCAAAGGTTTGATACCGAACGTATTAATTAAGATATATCACTGCTTTTCAATCACAGCAGTGAAAATGTGCATTTCCTCACGCTCCCTACATTTATTGTTACATTTGGAAAAATAATTCACTTGAGGGCGAGGCCACTTACCTTGGCAATTCTTAACTCTGGCCGACGATAATTGCCGACGAGAGGCGAGGTAACCTCCCTATTGAGCCCCATGAGATTCTTGTCAAATGTTTTAAAAAAATTTGTCTTCCCTTGGTTTGCACGCAAAATTCTGAACGGTATTTTAAATTAGTTTATGCATATTATTATGTATAAAGTGTTTATGTTTTATGTTTATTTTTTTAGTTTATGCATATCATTATGGCTTATTTGAAGATTACGAAGGCCACGATTTCACGATATGCCTCAAATATCGTGCACAGGTTGGTATGAGATTCAGACTATCGGGTTCGTAAGTGCTAGTATCCTACTCATAAAAATCTTAGACGTAAAGTTGAGGGAGAGGTAAATCTTACGATGGCAGAAGAAATCAAAGCTGGTGGCGAGTCTTCCAGGTGGCAAGGTGACTGTCAACCAAATAGAACGCATACCGTGACTGTTATCTTAGAGTTAATGAATAAGGAAGAAAGGCAAGAAGGGCGCTTATCTGAACATCAATTTTCCTAACTGGTGAGTGGTGACCGCGATGAACTTTATATCATACGATTGCTAGGGATACGCAGATACTGTAGAGGCGCTCACGTAGACAGTTTGCATTTGGAGGCGGCGATCCTTCCTCTGACTTTGGAACTGCGATAAGTTTATAGCGCAGACTAGCTGGCACAGTTTGGAGCACCTCAGGGCTTCACTAGGCTCATCACACTAGAAATCTTTAGCAAACTAATCGTAGAAGCGGGTGGTTATCAGTAACGTGCACAGATCTCTGAACCCGGGCCATCGCGAAAACTGTACCCAATCTGTCTCAGATAGAACAAGAAAACGGTGTATTAAAACGTTACAGTCATATTTACTGCCTTCCAAAAGCACCTTAACATAGGCAGACACAAATTGAAGCTGATAAGAGAATCCGCCTTTGATGAGATCAAGAGGAAATTGACGGAGGCCTACCAATCTGTAGGGTGTGGCTACGTTCAAGGACGGAACTCAGGCAAAAATTCTAAGGAACAATCCCTTACTAGCCAGGTGGACTTTGGATAGGCCCTTTGGAAAACACAAAAAGCAGATGCCTTTTCTCAGAAGGCAAATAAGTATCTCCCAGACGTGTGCTGGACATGGGAGGAAACTAGTATGAAGTCGACCGCCTCTGATATGGGTTCCCAAATAAAGAGTTTAAGAGACGAGACCGGCCAGAAATGCGGTATAGGACAGACTGCTTGATAGAGAAGCAGATCGCTTGATACTTCAGCTGACTATCGGCCCTGACAAAAGCTGGTTTACTGCAGAGGTCCTCCTCTGTAAGTATGAATATGGAGGAAGAGGTTGATGCCGATGACCTAGTTTCAGAAACTGACCGAACAAGGCAGAAGATCAGAAGGGATCTTGCAAAATTTAGACGAAGACTACAAGAGAGGGTACAGCTGCCATAGCCTACAAACAATACAGACCTTTGCATCTCACTTTTCTCTCAAACAATAATTTACTGTTATAACCCATGAAAACAACTGGCTATGTCCTCAGGTCTTTTCACCAAGGAAGCAGGAAGCCTACTGGTCAAAATATTGCTGGCTCATTCTTTACGTCACGTAATTCGACGCCGGTAACATTCGATCGAGAGAGAGATGCAGGTTTATGTGGAAAAAGGGAAGATATTTGAGATCGATGTAGGCAAATACACATAGAGATCTGCAGAATAATCAGAATTTGTTATCTAGCAGACAGCATGAACAACGTGCTTGAATAATTCCGATGAAAAGTCTTCGGGTCACGCCACAGACGTTAGTTAGGCGGAGCTCTGCATGGAAGTGTTCGATGGCGGTAAGTGACAACGACAACACTATTTTAGTATTATTTCCGGAATAGTAGCACCGTTTTTGAATTTGAAAGAGGTATTGATATTTCCTCACAAGCGAGAGGGCAGAATTTCGCGTCTGCAAAAGCCGAAGTTGTTGCACAGGGAACTTGTATGTCAACCAGCACACAGCATGTGACTTTAAAATCTCTTAAAATGAGCGGTAAACAAATCATAGACTATGAATGTTTTGTGCCGTACAAAAGCCATATTTGCTGATATTAGCAAATCTCCAAAGTAATAAACGACAGAATAAAGAAACACTACGATTTTCCCATCAACATTTCGCCCATACTCATCTCTCTTAACGTGAAATTTTCCATCAATTCCTACAGAAATTCTCGAAAGATGTTCACATTTCTTGGCTTCCTTAATCGGTAAAATTTCCGCACAGCCCATATTATATTATGCATTCAGTTCTTGGAGAAAGAAAAAAATAACAAAAACAATACATTGCCATCGGGAAAACAGATTTGTTTACCTCCTTAATCAATCATCATGTATAACGATCGAGCTACAACATGTAGAGGTTTATTAGCTCAAGTTACCTCTTAGAGCCAGAATTTCGGGACAGGTGTAGTTGATAGAGGCTTGTCATAGTCGCAGATTTTAAAAGACATCAAAGACAAAAATACGGCAGTGCCAAAAGATTTCTTTGATGGTTTTCAGAGATAACATGATAGATTATAACTGGTAATTAAAATAAGGGTCTTAGCTTTCTGGTAAGGAAAGTTAGTTGAACTCAAAGTTATCAAATATTTGGATGAATCGAAAAGTCTAAAAACACAGTCATTTATTGGCCTCTGTTGATTGACAAGCCATCAATTAAATTGACTGACACTTGCATCGTAATCATTAATGGCTACTCATATCCTACTTCCAACTTTGTCTCCTATGTCTGAAAGCTGACAATAGCCACTTAGAAGCCTGCTGAATTACTATACCAACAGTATAAAAAAATGCCACTTTGTTTTGCTGAGAAAGAAATGCGAAATTCCACTGACTAAAACCCAAAAACTGTGAACATATTCGATGACCATCTATTCTTGCCCAGCAAATTGAGCAAGGACTTTTATTTTTATTTTTGTAATAGAGGGAGCTGGGTTTGTGATTGACATGAGTCAATCAATGAAGTTTTAGTCAGATTCAGAATATTTCCAGTTGGTAAAAATTATAAAGATACAGGATACTTAAAGAAAAATTCAACAGGATGGAAAATGTTTCAAATAGATGATTGTGGGAACTAAACTACAGGAATTAATGAAATACAGGAAAGTTAGGCCAATAGTTCATAGGATATGGGATGCTCAGACTAATTTTACTTGGAAACCTGCAAATAATACTTTCCAACCTACAATTGTACCTGTTTTGTTGTGTCTTGTGTTGTAACTGACACAAGACACAACAACTTGAAATTCCAAACACTGCAAACAACAATCCATAATATAATTGGTGCATTTTAATTAGTTAAAAAACTTTTTTTTTGTTGGCATAAATTGTATGTATACAATCATAATTATAGTCTCTACTGATCAACCCATCAATAATGAATTACATGATATGCAACAAATATGCTTGCTGATAATTTCACTGACAACCTAATTGTATGTTTTGTTTTGTTTTTCAGAATTTCAACACATTACAGAGTGTATGTATTCAAATGGATACCAGTGTGCTAGCCCAATGGCCAATCAGGTTGCAAGTAGGTACACAAATTATACATCACAAATTACAAACTTTACTCCTGTTCTAAAGATACAACTTGTCCATGTATATATAAATATATCTGATTGCATTTGCCAAAAACATGCCCGTTATGTTACAAGATTGACATTTGTGACCTCTCACGCGAAAACGTTCCTTACGGTTTGCCGTTTTGAAACGGTAGCCGTTCGTAAGCCGTTCATCAGCCGTTCGAACGGGATGGGATGCCGTTCGAACGGCTTGAGCTATCCGTTCAAAAACAATTAGGAGCCGTTCGAACGGCTGGAGCTATCCGTTCAAAAAAAATTGGGAGCCGTTCGAACGGCTGGAGCTATCCGTTCAAAAAAATTGGGAGCCGTTCGAACGGCTGGAGCTATCCGTTCCAAAAAAATTGGGAGCCGTTCGAACGGCTGGAGTTATCCGTTCCAAAAAAAATTGGGAGCCGTTCGAACGGCTGGAGCTATACGTTTAAAAAAAGTTGTGAGCCGTTCGAACTGGATGTTCGTGGCGAACGGCTGGCGATATGTTTTGAAACCGTAGCTTACAATTCCTTTGGAAGGGATGTTTCGAGCCGTGATCCTGTCAAAGTTAATAGTCTTCGCACTGCGATCAGTCAAGAGTACATCGGACAGACTAAAGTTAGTTTGGTAAACACTTGAAGGTTCCTAATATAGCGTGTTTCCCCTCTGCAAGGAATTAAACTCTGCTCTGTTTAGATCATGCTTGCCAAACCAACAGTACTATCGCGTGGGAGAATAACAGTAACAACATTCAACACGAACTTTGTAAATATAAGCATTGTTTACAAATGCCTTCATGAATAATCACGGTTCTTTTTCTACTCCTCCATCATCTTTAGTTACGTAACATTCGATTATCGATACACATTTTTTATTCAAGATCAAGTTTATTCGACTAGTTTACCGAAAATGTTTTGACGTTTGACAGTATGCAAATATCAAGCGCTTTTGATTGAAATCAAAATGGAATCTCTTGAGGGAATACACCGTACCGTCGGCAAGATGTCAATCCACTCATTACCAATGCAAACACAAAGCGTGTGTGTTATTCATATGCTAAGTTGAAAACAATTACTCTCCATTTGTCCAATAAAAACTATAGAATTTCGATCCGCCGTACGCTATGAAAGTGTATAAAATGACTAGAGTAGCGACCAATTGTCACTCGATCTAGTCTAGCTCGCGGTTTTTATCAGTTGTGCTATCACTTGCTTATACTTGAGATCAGTAATCATGTCTCTCAGACTGTTGTGCGATATAATTATTATAGTCCAAGACTATCTTTTGTTCATGCCTCGCACGTCTGCCTCGCATGCCTCGCTGATTCGCTTTTATTGTACACACTCACATCAACGCAGCGGACAAAAATAATGGCACCCGCTTCTTTGTTAACTTAAAAGAATTGCTTGCACTCAAGGTAGCGAAAATTACTCGGCACATCGTAAAAATTGTCACTATAAATTGTGCCTGTTAGTTCCGAAGATACATGGTGGGGAAAGCGTCGCCTGTGTTCGGAAACGAGATGTTTACAAAGTCAATTAATGGCGTTACATTACGAATTCTGGAAATGGTTGCATGACAATTATTTTAAAAGAGAACGCAGACTATTACCGGCTTTTGTTTCTCCCCCGCGAAAACGAATTTGCTTTACTCTCAAAAGAGTTATTATTTTCAAAACAGGATTAGATTTATTCTAAGTTTTCTATCAGTTTTCAGATCTAAGCGGCGCGTGTCGCGTTTATCTTAATTACTGTCATTTCGTTCGAATGTTTTTGATCGGCCGTTCAACCGTTTACTTTGACCTTATCCGTTGAAAACTTCAGCCGTTCAGCCGGTCGAAATTTTCCTTCAGCCGTTCAGCCGTTCAGCCGTTCGACTTCAACCGTTCGAAACTTTTCTGAAGCCGTTCAGCCGTTCGACTTCAACCGTTCGAAATTTTCCTTTAGCCGTTCAACCGTTCGACTTCAACCGTTCGAAATTTTCCTTTAGCCGTTCAGCCGTTCGACTTCAACCGTTCGAAATTTTTCTGAAGCCGTTCAGCCGTTCACGGCATCCGTTTTAAACGGTTTCTCTATCCGTTTGTCATCCGTTCACATACCGTGCGTTCGACCGTTCGAACGGATACCGTAAGGAACGTTTTCGCGTGAGAGGTCACATTTGAGTTCATGCCCTGCCAGTCAGCTCAGTTAATGGGTGAACACCCTTTGGTTGGAGGCTTGTTGAACATCCACAGTAGCAGGCTTAGGAGAGGCTGCAAAAACCTGATGGTTAGGTTTTGGTTGAAGGTGGGCATTGCCTGCCTTCAAGCCAGCCTGGTTAAAGATAATGCAGGGGATTAAATGTTTAAGTTAGACTGTGCCCACATGCATCCCAGCCACCAACCAATCCAAAGGTGGCTTGCAAATGACTCTGTATGGAAACCTCAGGGGGTGGAGAGGGTAGATTTTTCAAACCTCTTGGTCGACTGCATTTTTCTCTGAGGCTAGGAAATGCTTGTCTTATTCATTGTGGTTGAAAGTCTGCATTGCAAAATTAGTAATGACAGGCTAGTAACCTGTCACACTTCACCACTGAAGAGGGGAACAGTGGGATTTTAGGTTTTGCAGTTTCTAATAGACCCCAATTCCTTCCTTACTGAACTTTAAATGCTCCATGGCCGGAGGGTGGTTGGTGTCGATATTCACTTTGAGTTTGATGTTTTTTGGATCTGTTTTGGTGAATTCACTCAGATATAAATAGATATATACATACATACATACATACATACATATGTAGGGTTTGAGCTAGGATTTGATCACTGGGGGACAATTTGTGCCCTTAGCAAAAATTTTGGGGGACATTTTTATTTTAAGGGGGACAGACAAATTAATTTTCATTCAACTTTTTTTTTTTTTTTTACATTCATACCGGCAAGACAAAAAAAACATTTTTTTTTACCTGATCGATAAAATAATATTATACTTTCCATGTTCTGTTTTAGCTTGCAATTTCTGTACTGAAATAAAACTCTTTGTGTGTGCTTCTTTTTGAGTTTTTTCCCAAAATTTTAAAGGGGAAAAAATTGTCCCCTTGGCGGTTTTTTTTAAGGGATAATTTCAATTGCAGTGTGGGATTGGCGAAATGGCGCAGCCTGGCTCAAATCCTGTACTTATGCATAATTATATAATTATATACACACCTGTTTTGAAAAATGTTGCCATTTGAAAAAATACATGATTGAAATATAATAATATACCTTTTGTTTTCTCACTAAAAATTGTCTCTTTTCTATGTTTACAATAATGATGAACTATGTAATAAGCCACATGAATATGATTATCAATTTCAATGTCACTGACTATGTATTTCTATTACTTTTGTACAGAATTTGTAAGAAATATTAGATCACAAGGGGAATTATGCAACAATTACAAGATGAAAACAGGATGAAAACAGAGGTAATACATCAATAAATTAAAAACTTTAAAATCCCCTTTTCATTGTGGAGAAACTCATAAGAAGAGGAAAAATTCTCTGAATTATCCCAAATTAACTTTCTAATGGTTAAATTCACTATGCAATATGCCACAAATATGGTTGTCCATTGTATTATTACTGATGGCATATTTGTCACATTTTGTTGCAAAGTATGTTGCAAAGTATATAATTATTATAGTCCAAGGGAATAAAAATCTTGGTTTTTTTTGTAGAATTTGTATTTGATCAACTAATTATCCTGTATCCGATGTTTTATTTAATTTCCTTTATCATCTTTTTGGTATTGAACTGATATCACTGACTACATATTTCTATTACTTTTTCACAGAATTTCCTGCAAATGCTGTAGCTGAAGTAAACTCTGTGACAGAATAAAGGGGGTAAGTTTCTAAAGAAACTGTGGTGCTGTGTTAGTGGGAGAGTAATTTAGTGTTAACCACTCAGTTGAAAACATAAATTGGCCACCATATAGAGAGTAAAAAAGCCGACATTTCAGGCATTAGCCCTTCGTCACAGCGACTGTGACAGAATAACTGGAAGATAGGAACAGAGGTAAACTTTACTCCTTTAACCCAATCATAGCAAACCAAAGATCCAAAAAATCTGCAAAATGTCTGTCTATTGAAACTTGTATTGGAAAGACTTGACTCAGACTTGAATACAAGTTTTTTTTGCAGAACATACTACTCAAGCAGTAATAAGGAGAAGAGAAACACAACTACAACGTAAGGATATATGTGTAGTTATAAAATAGCTTTTAAATTACTGCTTAATTCTGCTTACAATAAACAAATAATACTGTTGCAAGACAGTTCAATTCATTCAAGTAGGATTTATGTTCTTGATACTCACTATATCAACTGTTTGTGAAAATATTTCTGTTCAAACAATTTAGATGCTATACGCTGCAGACAGCATTAAGAATCTTGAGAGAAGGTAAGAGAATTCCCTTTTAAATATTTCTTCTACATAATATGAGACTAACTGCATCAAAATCACAAAAAACATGTCAGGACTCACTAGCGTTGACATCTTTGACTAGCCATTATACTATCACTGACTATAAGCAATTCGGTTTAAAAATTCCTTATGCACATTTCAATATTTTGCAAAAGTTTCTCTTCAAAACTAAAGTTAAAAATGTAGAAATTTTTAGTTTGACTTGAAAAACATAATTTAAAATAAATAAATCCCTTTAAGGTCTCATTTATCCTTTATCTGAAAACTTTCAAAAATATATCTTGTTCATTCATTACCCCATACTTTGTAATCTTTCCTTCAACTTTTACCACGACTTTCTTGTACTTGTCTATCAATAATCAGCTAACAAAATACATATAACTTATCAAATTCTTTCAATTTATTTTTAGATCAATTTGAGGAAAATTAAGGAATCATTATTAGTAATGATTCAGAATTTATCGACCATTTACACCCAACTCAATTCCATTGGCAATCTGTTGCACCAATCACCAGCCATGGTAAGTGAAATTTTTTTTAATTGATTCTTAGAACTGAACATTACCAATAAAGCTAAATGATGGTAACAATTTTCAAATAATTTTCACATAGAAAATACAATGCATATTGCTTCCTTATCACCATCATTATAAGTATTTATCTAAACATTAGAACTTCACCACACCTGTAACACTACACCAAATCAAAATGTTCCAATCTATGAGATTTAATGTCTGACTCATAAATTATCACAACCTGAGGTACAGATCTTAACCCTTTAACTCCCAAGATCTCATTAGCAATTCTCCTTACTGTCTGCCATACAGTTCTTGTGATTTTAGTTTGGAGAATTTGGTATTGGATCAACTAATTATCCCCTGATCAAATATTTGTCTTTATTCTCATCACTTGTCTGCTTGGTATTGCATTGATATTGTAAGGAGAAATTCTGTCTTGGTCACTGGATCATAGAAGTTAAAGGGAACTTAAAACCTAAAGTGAACTTTTGGTTTTAGTGAAAAACCTAATTCAACGTAGTTTAACACCTTAATTGTGTATTGATTTGATCATTTTTTAAAAGATTATACAGTGACATTACAAATTAAATCTAAAAAACAGGTTTCCTCTGTAGATCTTGTCAACTATAGGTATTTAAAGTGAATCACATCATTTTAGTGACAAATTATCTCCTTTATTTCACAGAACTCATAACAAAACAAAGCCTTTGTTGACCATATGTTGGAGGTGTGCAATTAAGAGGTAACGTTTCACTCCATGTAGTTTACAATTTAAATTAATCACAGCTATAATTAGACAGTCAAGAAAAGCAATTACCATTGACAGTCAAAACACAAACAAAACTTTACATTTACTCACAAGAGCAATAATCATACAGGTGTGTGAAGTTTAATGTGCACTATAAAGATCATTTACTCCTTCTGATGCACTCCTTCTGTTAATGACTTCTTTTCCCACAGTTTGCCACATCAAATATTGAAAAAGTTTCAACAACGTCTGATGAAAATGATGCAAAAGATGAATAAACAGGTAAGATTCTGCTTCATTCTCTTCCTAGTATACTCTTCTATACCAATATGTACTGAGCTTCATATATCCATGTAACCGAAGATAGCTTGATCTTTTGTCGTCTTTATACTTTTTATGAGTAACTTCTGTGTGAGTATTGTGATGATCCTAAAATCCAACAGTCACAAAATATTGTGAAGAAAATCTATCAAAATGCTGCATATTATGTTAAAAGCATAACTTGTACATAAATTTGCAACCTGATACAGCCTCAATATGACCAAAAAAGGGCAGGAAAGGAGCTGCACAACACTGAGAACTGTTGATAAGTCAACAATGCATTCAATTTCAGACTCCGATAACAAAATGTGACAGTCATTACAACCCACATTTTTGTAAAATAAAATGTTATCTTGTTAGTCAAATATTACTCTCAAAACTGTCTTTCACTTGACTAAAATAACATGTTAGTCACACCACAGGCATCCCAAGCTCATGTCTCGAGAAAAAGCAAATGATTAATTCATGGAAGTGTCACATATTGTGTGATTCGGTGTTAAATTATGAGAGAAACCGTTGAGAATTTGAACATGTTATAAGGAATAGTATGGGGAATGAAATTTCATCCATTTATAAGATGAAGGCAAAGCTGCATGCTATGATTTTGACTGTTGTCCATGCAGAGGTGGTTTGCACCCTAAAAATCCTCCCAATCGGCATTTTCCTTAGCCAGAGTTATAACAGGAATAACAGTGATGGTAAAGCAAGCTTAAAACGGCACAGATTGCCAGAAACCACAACGGACACACAAGACGTGAGTAAGTTCTATTGATTTTGTATTAAATGTTCATAGTTTGAAATATTTATCTTTGTAAATCAACCATATTTCGTTCCCAATACTATATTCTTTATAACATGTTCAAATTCTCAATGGTTCTTCTCATAACTTCACATTAAGTCACACAATGTGTAACAATTTTACAAATTAATTGTTGGCTTTTTCTCAAGACATGAGCCTGGGACACCTGTGGTCACACAACAAAGTTTCTGTCCCTTTTCTTGACACACACAAGTCACTACGAGTTATTTCGAATCAGAAATTTAAATAGTTGATATTCAATCTGAAAAAGGATCTAGTTGAGACCTATCAAATGAGAGCAAAAATTACATGAAAAATTTGTATTTATGTGAAAGGTTTGAGTATGTATGATTTACATGTTGAAAAACAGTGACATGAACATCAGTGTTAACACAAAATGTAATAGACAATTTTTTAAATAACAGCCAAGAATACAAGTTCAGTGGTAATTAACCCTTTGACCCCAAAGAGTGACTGGCATCTAATTTCTCCTTACACTGTCATCCATAAATCACACATTAAACCTTTAACTCCCAAGATCTCATTAGTAATTCTCATTACTGTCTGCCATACAGTGCTTATGATGTTAGTTTGGAGAATTTGGTATTGGATCAACCTATAATCCCCTAATTGATATTTTTCTTAATTCTCATCGCATGTCTGCTTGATATTGTATTTAAATTGTAAGGAGAAATTCTGTCTTGGTCATCCTTGGGATTCAAAGGGTTATGGTTATGAGAATAAAGGAAATGATCACCAACTATTAATACATGTAAGCTCTTGATCAAAAAACAAATTCTCCTTATTAGAATCTTAGGACATCTACTTGTATCAAGGGAACAGTATGGAGAATATACATACTGATGTTAGGGTGTAAAAGATTAAAGAAACCAAAATATCAATTATACGGCATTAGATTGATTATCCAACCAATTATCATTTTTATTGAAACAATTCACCCAGTGCATTCAATGTCATTTTAATCCTTTAACTCCCAAGATTGCATAAATAATTCTCCCATACAGTTCTTGTGATGTTAGTTTGGAGAATTTGGTATTGGATCAACTTATAATCCCCTAACTGATATTTTTCTTTATTCTCATCACTTGTCTGCTTGATATTGTATTGATATTGTCGCAGAGCGTAGCCCCATAATTATACAAAATAGTAGTAACCCATCAAGCCGAAAAAATTTGGATGTAGTTAAAGGGCTACTTTTAACAAAGACCGCGGGCACGCCAACGCCACGGCTTTGTTCAGTAGTCCAGTTGATGTGCTTCAGAATGTTTGTTATGTGATTACATTTACATGGATAATCACTGCTTTCTTGAATTAGCGGACTGTTCAATTTTGCGAGAAAGATAGATCTTATTTGGTAACTTTTACAGCTGAATACTAGTCAACATTCCTGTGAGCTTATCCATTGCTCTTTCCCCACACTGTCTCAGGTTCTTTTAGGAGCCTTCCACTGCTCTGTTCCATTCAACTGACTTCTTCACTTGATGTTTAATCTCTGTCTGCTTCAAATATCAAGGTGTATCAACAGCTTGTCAGGCCTGACATTTTCATATGGGATCTTTCACATTAAAACTTGTATAAAATAAATACTTAAAAAAGTGAAGAACTATACGAAATCTAGCATCCAATTTTGCAATTTCAATTCCATTTCAATTTCCAAAAACTAGCCCTTTAACATACAAATTTCACCGCAACATCACAGTAAAATACCCTTATCAACATAGAATTGACTCTTCAGAACTTAAACTTATTCTAAACCCTCCCGATCTGCCAAATTTATTTTGTATCAATCATGAAGTCTGATTATGTTTAACTGCACCAGAAAAATCAATCTTTAATACGCTATCAGCTTTTTCCTCTATTTGTAAAACCTATTTACTTTGTCTTTCAGCAACAAATGTTGGCCCATGGCTTCACATGAAGATAAATACCAAAATAATGTTGGCCCATCGCAGCCATTCACGTACCAGTTCACTAGAAGTTGACTTATCAAGTTGAACATAATGTACAAAACATAAAAGGAAATTTAATGCACATGAGTATTCAGTGTTTGGCCGAAGTCACTCTACACCTTTGTTTGTTTGTTTAAGCAAAAAATCTGTGATAGTAGAATAGGTATAACCCCCAATCTAAAAAAGTTGCCAAATCTTTTGCACACTGCCAAATTTTTTTGCCAATCTTGAAAGAACAGGTGTCAACCAAAACAAAAGAAATCAACACAACAAAGAAAAAACCGTTCCTGCGCAGTACTGATTCGCACGAGATCTCTTGTCATAGCATAGCTTCACAAAAGCCCATACTATGATTGGTCAAATTGCTCAATTCCATTTGTCCGTGTGTGGCACGCTGACATCAGAGTTTGTTCTTCTTCACAAAACGAAAGATTTTTGAAACTCTCGATGTTTGAAACCCTCAAGAAGCTAGAATCGCACTTGGCTGTTGCCTTGTGTGACTCTTACGCTTCTTTGAGCTTAGCAACCTCCCACACGTATCTATAATTCAACAGTTGCAAACTGTAAGCTAACCATTTCTTAATTGTTAAATCTTTTGAATATTACTCTAATGTGACCGCGGCAAATTTCGAAAATGCGAAAATTTTTTAACTTTTGACGCGCAAAAAATTGTCAAATATTTTACTTTATTCATGTATACCATTTAATTTACGGTACATCGTATTTAAAAATGATTTCATCAAATAATAAATGGAAGGTTCATTTTGGAAACCATGGTCTTTTTCTGTGCAAAATGATTTCGAGTTGACAACAATAGTAACTCTTCAAGCCTTTGTGCTGTGATTAATACATACATCCCGGTGTGACCAAAACATCACACCTAATGACGCCATCATTAGCCCGTCGTATCTTTCGGCCATTTGCTTCAACACACCAGCTGCGCATTAAGACATCTCCCTTAGCAACAACCTTTTACTAGGAGACTAATGTTCACCAATACTCCCCTAGCAACAAACCGGTTTAGCACTACCAATTGTCTTGTCAGGCGACACATTTTTGCCAATTTACTTCCATGTAAATTGCTTTCAGCGTCTCATACCCTCTGTCTGATAAAATCGAATTATTTCAACACAAATCATTCTTTTAAAACGACGAATACAATCTAAATAGAGACGTTGCTTTCTCTAATTTGCAATGCAGCATTTTTAAATGTACAGGTGAATTCTTAACCAGTATCTAACAATCAAACAAGTACGTTGTGGTCTTTGAATCGTATACAGAACTGCATTTTATTTATTTATCCCATATTACCGATGAGTCAAATATTCTTAGTTGCCACCACCACTTCTATCGAGAGTCTGCACGCAAAGACGACTTCTATCGAGAGCTTCAAAAGTGGATCTGAAGAAAACAAAAAGCAGCGCAGTTCTGCGCTTAGCTACCGCCTGAGGATTCAGCCACTCAAATTGGTCCTTCTCGAATTTCAAGTAGAAAATGGCATTCTCCTCATCGCAGTGGTTCGCGTATGAGTAATATATCGTCTATATCAACGACTAGAACCAAGAAAACCTACACGAGTCGCGCAAGACTTGAAGTGATGGTTTTCCAGGAACGGCATTCCCAATAGCAGCAGAAATTTCATATTTAGCACTGAAAGAAAACAACACTTAACTCTCCCGAACTGAAGTTTCTAAATATCAAGCCCTACAGCGAATCTTTACCTCCGTTGCAGAACCCGTTGGTCCTACAGTTCATCTCGATCACAAAGTGATCGCGCCTAATCTGCACTTCGTCTACTTTGAATGTGAAACCTCGTGTAGCCTCTTCAGTTCTATTTAGACAGTGCGCTCGTCCCAATTTCAACCCGGACACAACCGACTGGCACCAGCGACCAGTCGTAAGAAGTGACCAACCACCTGTTACAGATACAAATCAAGTGCTTTCCTCACCCAGGAAAAAAGCCTCCCACGAAATGCTTCAACTTCATCAGCAGCTCAACAAAATTGTTGAAATGCTTGCCATACAGCAAAAAAGAGTTCTCTTACTTAATCTCAAGTCTCTGTTTTCGATGGTGACCGTCTCAAGTATGAACCCTTTCAAACAACTTTCGGGTTCCATGTTTCGCGAGAAGTCCACGCCTCACGAGAAGGCCACGCGTATTCAAAGATACAATAGAGTAGTTTCTAACTTAGTTTTCTTTCACTTGTG